GTACATTTTTGCAGTTCACGCAGGTAACAGTCATCTTGGGGAGAGGTTACCTGTACAGATGACAGTTTTTTTCCAATCCCCTTCCCCCTCCCTCCCCTTCCCTCCCCTCTCCCCTCCCTCCCCCTCCCTCTCTCTTCTGGCTCCCCTGTCGGCTTTTACACACTTGTTGATATTGTCTTAGCTCCTGTTATGGCGGATAATGTCTGCATTGATTGGAGTTATTAGGGTTTGGTAAAACTTCACTCCTCAGATGGCAAATTTTCATTCCTTTCACTTCCCCCTCCCCTCCTCCTCACCCCTCCTCCTTGTTCCTTGGACCACTTCCCTACTGGACAAGATCTGTCCACTTGTCCCTTTCTAGCCATCAGTTTATCATTTTCTTATTTATACCTGGCCTCACTTAAATGAGAGACACTACATGGTATTTAAGCTTGTGTGTCTGGTTTATTTCATTCTGGGCCGGGGATATAGCTCAGTGGCACAAGTGCCTGCTTGATGTACTTCACTCAACATTATACTTTCCAGGTGCATCTATTTCCCTACAAATGCCTCAAATTTGTCATTCTTTAAAGCAGAGTAGTATTCCATTATATGTAGATAACATATTTTCTTTATCCCGTCATCTGTTGATGTATATATAGGCTACTCCAGAATTAGCGATTACAAATTGTGCCGCTATAAACATTGGTATGTGTGTATCGCTGTAGTAGGATGCCCTAAGCTCTTTGAGAAAGATGCCCGGCAGGGGGATCTCTGGGCCATATGGCTTTTCTAAGTTCAATTCTTTGAGAACTCTCCACCCTGACTTCCATCATGGCTGAGCTAGTTTGCATTCCTGTCAGCAATGAAGGAGAGGTCCTTTCCCGCCACAGCCACTTCAGCGTTTGTTACTGTCTGACTTCCTAAGGATTGCTGTTCCTTCCTAGTAAGATAGAAGCTTAGTGTTGTTTCAACTTGCATTTCTCTAGTGGCCTGGCCTGGCAGGCATTTTTTCATCCATTTGTTGACCATTTGTATTTCTTCCTCTGTGAAGTGTCTGTTCATTTCTCTTGCCCATATCATGACTGGGGCTTTATTTTTAGGTGGCTTAGTGTTTTTGAGTTCTCTGTATATTCAAGATATTAGTCCTCCCTCTGAGGAGTAGCTGGCAAAAATTTTTTTTCCATTTTCTTCACTCTACTGGTTGATTCTTTTGCTGCACAGAAGCTTTTCAGTCTGATATAATCTCATTTGTTGATTCTTGCTGCTATTTCTTGTAGAACTGAGGTTCTATTTAGAAAATCTCTCCTTACACCTATGTCTTCAAGTTATTTACCTATTTTATCTTCCAGAAAGTTTAATGTTTCTGTTTTAAGGATTAGATCTTTGACCTACTTTGATTTTAACTTAATATATGGTGAGAGATAAGGATCCTATTTCATTTTTCTGCAAATAGGTGACCAGTTTTGCTAACACCACTTGTTGAACAGGCTATTTTTCCTCCAACTTATACTTTGGGACCCTTTGTCAGAGGTCTGGGAAGTTTCTGTATCCTCTATTCTTTTCCACTGATCCAAGTGTCTGTTTTGTTCCAGTGCCATACTGTTTTTATCCCTATTGCTTGCACTATAGTTTGAGGTCTTGTACTGCTATGTCTCCTGTTTTGCTCTTATGGCCCAAAATTACTTTTTTAAATTCTGGGTCTCTTCTGGTTTGGTATGAATTTTAAGATTTATTTCTCTAGATCTGTAAAGTATGCTGCTGGTGTTTTGATTGGGACTGCATTGAATCTGTATGAAAGTTTTGGAAGTATGGCCATTCTGACAATGCTGGTTCTGCCTATGCAGGAGCAGGGGACATTCTTTCCACTTTCTAATGTCCTCTTCACTCTCCTTCAGAGTACTGTGGTTTTCTTTGTAGCATCTTCCACTTCCTTGGTTAATTCCTAGGTACTTCATTTTTTTTGAAGCTACTGTGCATGGAATTATTTTCAGAATTTCCTTCTCTCTCTCTCTCTCTCTCTCTCTCTCTTTTTTTTTTTCTTGAGACAGAGTCTCACTATGCAGTTCAAGCTGGCCTTGAGCTCACTTTGTAGCCCAGGCTGGCCTCAAACTCATAACAATCCTCCTGTCTCAGCCTCCTGAGTGCTGGGATTACAGGCATGTGCCACCATGCCCAGCTAGAATTTCCTTCTCACCCTGTTCATCATTGGTATGTACAAATGCTAATGATTTTAGTGTGTTGATCTTGCATCCTGCTACTTTGCTGAAATTGGTTATTAATTCTAAGTGTTTTTTGGTGAAATTCATTGGGTCTTCTATGTAGAGTATCATGTCATCTGCAAATAATAACTTGAATTCTTCCTTCCCTTTTGTATCCACTTTATTTCTTACTCTTGCCTAATTGCTCTGGCTAATATTTCAAGTGCTATGTAGACTAGAAGAGGTGATAGCAGGCATCCTTGTCTTGTTCCTGATTTTAGGAGAAATGCCTTTTGTTTTCCCCCATTTGGTTTGATGCTGGCTTTTGGTTGGTCATATATAACTTTTGTTTTTGGTTCTTCTCTGGTACCAGGAATCGAACTCATGACCTTGCGCTTGCCAGGCAGGCGCTTTGCCGCTGAGCTAAATCCCCAGCCCCGGTCATATATAACTTTTATCATATTCAGGTATGGTCCTTTTAAACCTGTTTTCTTCAGGGTTTTTATTATGAAGGGGTGTTAGATTAGTTATTTTAAAATTTTTTTTAACCTGTCAATTCCAGTATGTGAGTCATCTGTGGGTCTACTTCTATTGATTTTTTTTTTTTTTTTGGTACTGGGAATTGAACTCAGGACCTTGCTCTTGCCAGGCAGGCGCTTATGCCACTGAGCTATATCCCTGGCTTGGGTATTTTTTCCTTTTAATTCCAAGTCACATTTTTCTGCCAAACATTGTATAAGTTCAGCAGAGACTGAGAGAAGCCATTTTCCAACTAAAGAGTAGCTTGGTTAGGTTGAGACTGAGTCACTACTTCACCTAGTCTTCATTCGCCTCAGTTTTGGATGTTCTTGAGGGTGGGATCAGAAGTGTGCCTGGTTAGGACCAGGAGACTTGAGACCTCTGCTGACCGGCCAGCCCTGGCTTCCTGTGGGGCTGCAGACCCAGACGTTCCCTGAGACAGGATGAGGGCTGCCGAGCCTCACTCTGCGAGGGAGGCTTTTCCTGATCCAGGGGCAGAGCAGCTCACATGCAGCCCCTGCAGCTCTGTGGCTTCTCCTCACCCAGAGGGCTCCTCTGCACACAGAGGTCTTACTGCTCCAGGTCGGGGACTTTGGTAAATATATATAGTGTGCAAATGGCCCCTAAGTTCTGTGCACCTAGAAAGGGACAGCTCCACTCCGGTTTGAGTATACTTATTTGTGTGTGTTTAATTGTTTCTGTGTGATAACAAATCCTCCTCCTGAGAAAGGACGATTGATTTATGGGTGGAGAACACTGACAGCCCAGGAACTGGGATTTCTTCTTCCTTTCTAGTTCCCCCAGAGGAGCCCTTCCTTGCCTTGCCCTGCCTTTGGGCTGTCTCGTGTGATGTGATCACGTTTTCCTGTTCTTCACAGGTGAGAGTCACGCCTACGCATTCTGATCAGTAGGTCGTGTTTTGTTTAGTTTAGTTTCGTTTTATTAAGACAGGGTCTTAGTATGTAGTTAAGGCTGGCCTTGAACTCACAGTGATCCTCCTGGCTCAGCCTCCCGAGTACTGAGATTATAGGTGTGCACCACCTGGACTGGCTTGATCAGTAGATTTTGGATTTAATTTTCCTGCCTTCCTCTCTTTCCATGTAAGCAGATGCCCATCATTTTAGGTTTGTGAGGAAAATGGGGATTATTCTTGCAGATCATGAAAGTCAAGACTTTTATGACCCTGTGTGTGTGTGTGTGTGTGTGTCTGTGTTGGGAGCCAGGTGAGGGCGGGTAGAAAACCGACCACTGGGAGCCCTGAAGGTCTGAGTGACATCCTGCACCCGCTCTGCCGTCCACACACCTGACCTCCCATTTCCCTGCCTCCGCACTCCGTTAACTCCACACAGACGCCCCAGCCTCCAAGGCCTGTCCTGTGCTCCGTCCCCCAGGACCCCGCACTTCCTCCTGTTCAGTCTGTGCGTCCACGCACGTCCTAGTGACCTAGCGTAGCTGGGAGGGGGCCCAGGACTTACTGTCTGGTGTGTCCTCAGGGCTGAGGATAAGGCAGCAGGGGGCCCTGCTGTGGCATGGCCCCGGCTCGCCGTGTGATGGGGGCCTGGAGGCCGTGGGACGGAGGGAGCTGGGAGAACCCCGACACCCATTTGTGCTTGCGATGGTGACCCAGGTTGGCCCTGGGCGCCCCTTGTGGGCCTCCCTGGCGTTGTGTGGATGGGTTGTCACGCCTCAGCAATTTGGTGCCTCTCCCCGTAGATAAGTGTTGGTAACAGTTTGTGTACACACCTTTCTCTCCTTTTGTAGAAATTTTAATATATGTGTATAATTGTGTTTAGTTTTTTGGTTTGTTTGTTCTTCACAGTCCTGGGGATTAAATCTCGGGCTTTCACACTGAGCTACGTACCCTTTTTCATCTTTATTTTCTGAGACATGATATCTGTAAGCCATTAAGGTACCCAAGACTTAAACTTGTGGTTTTCCTGCCTTGGCCTCCCCAAGTGCTAGGATTGCAGGTATGCACTACTACACCCAGCTTCTTAATTATATTTACGTAAATGGGATCATAGCAATCTTTACATTTTATATATAAATATATGTTGGATATACTTATTCCTTACTGAGGGATATCTAAGTTTTAAAACTAAATATTATCAGCGACTGACTATATGCCTTGAAGTCAGTGCATCATGGTTTCCGGTGTTGTGGCTTGGAAGTCAGGGCTTTGGCCACTGATGGTAGGAAAGAATGGGCAGCACTTTTGCCTTTTCCTTGGGGGGACACTCGAGTGTGGGGAACCACCTGGTGCCTGAGTCACACCTGCCCTTGTGACATCACAAGTTTCCCTCCACTCCCTGCCCAAGCTGCGGCTGCAGGAGCACAGACTTGAAGGGATTTGAACCATCTACATCCACCCTGCATGTGACCAATGGTGAGTAAGAGCAAGCCAGACGTGCCAGGCTTGTTAGGGGCGTCCTCGCAGCTCTCAGGACGAGGGAACCCTCTGACAGCTAAAGGGTCTGGGAAGCCTGGAACTGGGGACAGGTGCGCTGTGAATGGGGAGGGAGGAAAGGCAGCCTCTTTCTTCCAGTGGAAGAATGAATGGGGCTCTTAGCAGTGAACTGGCTTCTGCAGTTCACTCGAACTGTCACTTGCCCCTCCTTGCTGATTGCAGGGGGAGAAGCAGCCTGAAGATGCTAATGTAGCCACTAAAGGGGACGGCTGTCCACCAGGAGTGGTGGCACACACCTGTAATCCCAGTACCTTGGGAGGCTGAGGCAGGAGGATCGCGAGTTCAAGCCCAGCCTGGGCAATGTAGTAACTTAGTAGGACTTTGTTTCAAAATAAAACATAAAAAAGAGGAGCTGAGGGTATAGTTCAGTGTGAAGGCCCTGTGTGCAGTCGCCTGTACCACTAAAAAAGAAAGAGAGGAAGAAGAAAGAAAGAAAGAAAGAAAGAAAGAAAGAAAGAAAGAAAGAAAGGTGACCCTCAGTGGAAGCTGAAGACCTGAGAGAAAGAAGCAAAGGGAGGAGAGCAGCAAGTGTCCTGCCTGTCTCAGAAGGGGCAACTGCTGGTGGGAGGGCAGAGCCTTTCCTGGTACCCTGGCGCTGAACGGGGCAGCAGCATCCTCTAAATGTTCCCTTTCTTTCTTTGCAAGTCCCAAGAAAATCAGAGAGCGATGTCAACTTTAAAGATCCAGGCCTGGTGGCGGGGCACCCTGGTGCGGCGGGCACTGCTGCACGCGGCCCTCAGGGCCTGGGTCATTCAGTGCTGGTGGCGGGCGATTGTGGCGAAGCTGCTGGAGAAGAGACGGAATGTGATTCTGAAAACATTTTTGAAGGAGGAGCAGGCGGCGGTCAGACTGCAGTCCTGTGTCCGCATGTGGCGTGCTCGCCAGCACTACCTCCAAGTGCTCAGCGCTGTCCGTGTCATCCAGGCCTTCTGGAGGGCCCACACCTGCATGTCCAGGGGCTGCATCAGGGGCTACTACCGAGTCACTACCAAGGAGCTGCACCTGGAGCTGGAGATCTTGCTGGGCTCGGGGCCTTGCGTCATGAAGGAGTGCATTCCCCTCCCAATAAAGCAGTGAACTGGGCTTCCTCAGACGTTCTCTGACTAGAGGGCAGGGCAGATGGTAGGAGATACTTGGCGTGTCAGATACCAGCTCTGGGGAATTGACGGGGTGTCTGAAGCCAGGTGTGGAGAAGGCTTCTTTGTCCACACTGAGCAAAAACTGTGATCAGTTAGCAAAGTCTGCTGTCGGTAAGGAAGCTGGGCGTGCAGACAGCCAGTGCGACACATCATTCGTGCTTGAGCTGTGGAAGCGGGGCGCTCTCCCCACCACCGTGCATCACAGGAGCCTTGGGGGTGGTCATGGGGACGGCAGCACATTCACCGGGAATTCACCCATTTGGGTCCGGATGCTCAGGGATCGATCCCTATCCCCAAGACTGAGAGGAGGACACTCACGCCCAGCCTGAGACCCTGCCTCCCTGCCTGGCCGGCACTGCACTCTCACACTCAGTTACTAACTCAGAACCTGAGACTGAAATGGTAGCTGTTAGTGGGGCCCAACCAAGTTGTCTTAGTCCCTTTCTCATGACCGGGGCGGAATACCTAACACAAGGTAAAGGACGAAAGGTTTATTTTAGCTCGCAGTTTGTAGAGGGTTCAGCCCATGGTTGGCTGGTTTCAAGGGAGGGTGGTGTGGCCGAGGAGGAACCGTCCACGGTAGGAAGGCAGGCAGGAAGGAAGCGGCAGCAGTGAGCCTCCTTTTCCCTCTTTATTCCTTCCAGGCTACAAGCCTGTTGATTGGTGCCCTCTACACCCAGGGTGGGGGTTCTGTCTTCAGTAAGTCCATTCAGCCACACCCAGGACTGTGGACTAATCCAGTATCTCCACACTCATGATCCAGTCACTCCGAAAAGCTCCACCTCTGAGTGCATGAGGCTTTGGAGGGATATATAAGCCAGAACAGAAAGATCTCCTCTCAGACCCCTCTGTACCTTGCCCTTGAGCTCCAGGTGGAAGCCAGGACTCATCTTCCTGCATATCTGGCTGGTACATGGGGGGTTCCACAGCGTGGGGATGGGGAGAAGGCATTCTGCTGGTATGTCTACCCTCTTGGAGCAGCAGACCCCAGGCTATCACAGACCCAGGAGCTGGTGAGGTGTTAGCAAGGGCTGCTTAGGAGAGCTGGCTGCTCTGAGAGTCCCTTCCTGTGACGTGCTAGTAGGGTAGGGGCCAGGTGACGATAAAGGGCCAAGTAGGAGGTCTGGGGTAGGCTGCCCTCTTCCTGTCTGGACGCTGCTATCTTCAGATGCCAGCTCCACCGACTGATGCAGGTCAGTGGGTGAAGGGCTCATCATGGACTGAAACTGGGGCAATCCTGCTGGCCCATTTCAGCATCAGAGCTTCCTGTGATACCTGAGACATAATGGGAAGGCCATGAGCAAGATATACACACTAATGTGATTAAATGGGTCAATTCTTTGAAAACTAAAAATTACCAAAACTGGTCCAGGATGAGTTAAATCACCTGAATCATCCTATAGCTATTTCAAAAGTTGAGTTGGTAGTTAAAACCTCTTAGATGGTTGAACTAGAAAATTCTACCAAACATTCTGTAAATAAATAATACCAATTCTACAAAATAGAAGAGAAGGGACATTTCCCAATTGATTTTATGAGGGCAGCACACAGGATCCCGTGCCATGGTTTGTGTGAGGGGCCCCCAAGCCCTATGTGTGGTCCCAGGTGGCCCCACCGCCAGGTGGTGGACCTTGATGGGAGATCTTTACGTCACAGCCCTCGAGGGGTGTGGGACTCTGGTCTCTTCTGCACCTTCCTTTTCTGGTCTCTGACGTGAATGACTTTCTCTGGCTCATGCTTCTGCCATGATGTGCTGCCCTCACCAGAGGCCCCAAGAAACTGGGCCACTTCATCTTGGTTTGGAATCTTCAGAAGTGTGGGCCAAAATAAGCCTTTTCTTTTTATCCGTTAATACCACAGATATTTTGTTAGAGTGGCAGAGAGGTAACTAACACATTCTGATACTGAGGCCAGACAAAGATAGTGTAAAAATAGAAAATTGTAGCTCCACATACCTCATGAACAGAGAAGATGAAAAAAATCAACGAAATATTAGCAAATCCAGTTTAGCAGAACATACTAAATATAGAATATGTATTATATATTACACACACACACACACACACACACACACACACACACACACACACCATGACCAAGTGGGCTTTATTTCAGAAAAGTAATTTAAAAAACACCAGAAAAGTAGTTTCAATATTTGAAAATCTATAATTGTAACTTATTATCAATTTAATTAATTGGTTAAAGATTTTTTTTTGTCTTTTTGAGACAAGGTCTTGCTATGCAGTTCAGGCTGGCCTTGAGCTCACTTTGTAGCCCAGGCTGACCGCAAACTTGCAATGATCCTCCTGCCTCAGCCTCCCGAGTGCTGGCATTACAGGTGAGCACCACCATGCCTGGCGCATTTATTTATTTTTGAAACAGCCTGTAGTTCAGGCTGGCCTTGAATTCATTGTGTAGTTCAAGCTGGCCTTGAATTCATTGTGTAGTTCAGGCTGGTCTTGAACTCAAAGCACTCCTCTTGCCTGTGTCTCCCAGCTGCTGGGATTACAGGTACGCGCCACCAGCCCGGCATATTATCAATTTTTTTTCTTTTTTCTTATTTTTGTTTTCCTTTGTCCATATTATCAATTTAAGGAGGATAAACAACATGGTCATATGAATTAAAGCATATAAACATTTGACATCATCTAAGTGTCAGCTTTCCCCCCTCTTTCTGGTACTGGGGATGGAATCCAGTGCCTTGCACATGCTAAGCATGCACTCCACAACTGAGCTCCTTCCCCCACCCCGACACCAACATCCCTTCACGTTAAAAACTCCCAGCAAATTAGGACTAGAACTTCCTCAGCCTGATAAAGTTCATCTACAAAAATCTTCGTTAATATCTTACTTAATGATAAAAGACTGAGCAAAAACAAGAATGTGTTCTCTGATCCGTTCTGTTTACCAGCAGTCCTAGCCAGAAAAAAAATAAAGATATACAGATTGGAAACAAGGAAATAAAACTACTCCTATCCACCGGCAGCATGATTGTTTACATAGAAAATCCCAAAGAATTTACAAAACAAAAATCTAGAATGGACAAGAGAGCTAAATAAAGTTTCAGGAAACAAGGTTTCACACAGTCAGATCATATTTCTCTAAATAACAACGAGCAATTGGGAACCTAAAGAACAATAGTATTTACTACACTTCCAACATTCTTAGGTGTAAATCTAACACTATGTAAGGGACCTACAGATGGAAAACTATAAGATATTGATGAAGAAATAAAAAAAGAGCTAAATAAACAGCAAGACACACTGTCCATGGATTGGAAGGCTCAGCAGAGTAAAGATAGCAACTGTCAGTCAAGTGACCTATAACTTTAATATAATGCTAATCAAAATCTCAGAAGGCCACCTGGGACCACACATAGGGCTTGGGGGCCCCTCACACAAACCAATCTGTCTATACAGATATAGACAATTTGACTCTAAAATTCAAATGGAACGTCAAAATAATAGAATAACCAAAACACTTTTGAAAAAGAAAAGTAAAGCTCTTCTACGGTAGCTGGTTTTAAGACTTACTGTATTAGAAAGTTACAGCAATAATTTCAGCTACGGTAGTGGTGAAGGGATCACCTGTACTACGAGGAGTAGACTAGTTCAGTGAAGTAGACTAGTCCAAGGATAGAGTCAGACAACAGAGGCAATCAGTTTTCCACAAAGACACAAAAGGATTTCAACGGAGAATGTTTAGTCTTTCCAGTAATTTGTTTGAAAAACTGGAAATTCATTTGCAAAAAAGAAATGAATCTCAATGGAATCATCATACTTTATACAAAAAACTAATTCAAAATGGATAATTTAAACATAGATATAGATGTAAAATTCATAACTATAAAATTTACCAGATAATGTTGGAGAAAATCTTTGTTACCTTTAGAAAAAGAGTACATAAAAGAAAAAAAATACAATATTAGACATTTGCGAAAGAGAATGTTAAGAGCATGAAAATATAAGCCAGATTTGGGAGACATTATAAATCACATATTCAACAAAGAGTTTGTATCCGTAGCCTACAAAGAACTCTCAAGAATCCTCGGGAACTGTGACAGTTAATTTATACATCAGTTTGGCTGGGCTCAGGGATTCCCAGGTAGCTAATGGAAACTGAGTGTTGGTTGTGTCTGCAAGGATATTTCTGGACAAGGTTAGCATCTGAATTGTTAAGCTGAGCTGCAGAAATTGTCTTACCGGTATGGGTGGGCATCGTGTAACCCATGGAGGGTCGAAGAGAGCAAGAATGTGGAGAAAAGTTAAATTCACTGTTGTTGAACTGACATTGATTTTCTCCTGGGGACTTACAGATCCTCCAGCCTTTATTTTTTGTTTTTGTTTGTATTTTTTGAGACAAGTTCTCGCTGTGTAGTTCAGGCTGACTTGCACTCACTATGTAGCCCAGGCTGGCCTCGAACTGGTGGCTGTCTCCCTGCCTCAGCCTCCCAAGTGTTGGCATACACCACTGCCCCAGGTTAGCCTTTGGACTTCAAGATTTATTCCGAAGACATTTATAGAGTCTTATTAGATCCTTCTCTTGACATATGCCTTTAAGTGTGTTGTTATATTGTAGAGACATTATTTCCAATTGAAATTTAGGTAATTGCTGTTCAATATTTTATTTTATTTTTTTATTTTAAAAATAAAAGGAGGAAAACATTAACACACAGACAACCTTTTACAAAATAGCAAAAGAACAGTATAGACAATACAGAGTTACAAAGTGGTAAGAAATTAACAATGCTTGTTGTATTACATATTGGTATCTTCAAAGTGGTTTCTCATGAAAACAGATAGAGACATGCAATATTGATCAATCAAGGACTCACTGACAGTTTCGTTCAGCAAAGAAATAGAAGACAGTAGAACAACTATGTTAACTATCCTGTATATATGTACATACAAATTTTCTCCTTGTTTCCCTTCTCTTTTCCCACAT